AGTGATCTCCACGGGGAAATTGGGTTATTGACAGAGCAGATACTACAGTACAGAACAAATGAAGTGTCTATCACTATCATCTCTACAGTAAAGAACATTTTCATCATGCATTTGCAAAGAATTTGCAAAACAACAAACACCTTAAACCTGCAAGAAACCATTTTCTCTATGAATACAAACAACCATAAACAAGCCAGGCACCACTTCAGCATACCAGAAACCTGCACTGCTTCTCTGTAAATGTTTGCTAAATGGGAGCAGGCAAAACGAGCGCAAATTCGACCAACCAGGGGTTTGGCAGTTTCCCAGCAAACACCAGCACTGGACTAAAAATGACTTTGTAATCAGAGGGTTTAGAGAGCAAACAAAGGAGGAGGGAAGAAACCCAGGGAATGATAGAGTGAGTCTATGAATTACTCAGCAGACACGTCTCTGCCTCTTTACTCCCTGCAGGAGATAATGGGGATCATCCGTCTTCTTGCCCTCCTTTACGCCCCATCTTTTGACCACTCATCTGCATCCAGGTCAGCTGAGAAATACCACGAGTCTTCTCCTATAGCTATAGTTTGTAGGATTTGCATTAGCATTGTGGCCTCACAGCAAGAGGTTTCCTGGTTCGAACCCAGGGTACTCCAGCTTCCTCCCAAAATCGAAAGACAAGCAGGTTAGGTTAATTGGTGACTCTAAATTGCCCGTAGGTGTGAATGTGAGCATGAATGGTTGCAATAGTCTGGTGACCTGTCCAGGGTGTACCCCGACTCTCATCCAATGCCAGCTTGGATAGGCTCCAGCCCCCCCATGACCCCCAACAGGATAAGCAGTTATGGAAAAATGAATGAATGAATATAACTTCTGTGTTTGTATTGTGGTCTTTTGCCGGTTTTAAGGGGGTGGGACTGAGTTAGAAAGAGGAGATCATACACACTTTCTCGCACCAATCAGGATTTGGCAAAAACCGATTCAGAATCATATGACAGCTGTTGGGTTGTTTGTCAACTGTCAATCAAATCTGATCAAACCACACCCACAGGTTCCTGATGAAGCAGATTGGCTGAGTTTTTGACTGTTAAACACTTAAAGGAGTAGTTCAGCATTTTGGGAAATACAATCATCCCCTTTGATAAGAAAACTGATACCACTCATACTCACTGTGCCCAGTATAGTAAAAACATTGCTACAGTGAGCAGCCCATAGCTTGGCTTAGCACAAAGACTGGAAACGAGGGGAAGCATTTATAAGCCCCTTTTACACTGCCAGATTTTCCACGAATGTTGGGCCGTTTTGCCGGCAAGCTGCAAGCGTTTAGACACTTTAGACACACATTGGCGGAACCCTTTTGGTTTAAAAAGACCGAGGCAGCCTTCTGCAACGGGAGGGGCTGTTGAAGACTTGTGGGAGGAGCTGTTGATGACGCCGCACGTGCGACCCACTGGCGGTGGATAAACAGGAAAAAGCTGATAGCAGGAATTCGTGAGCAGCTAGTAGCAAGAGGGAAATGCAAACCTGACAGACACTGTAAAGATGAGCAACTGAGGAGACAAGGAATTGCGCGCCCTCCTTGTCCTCACAAATGAAGAAGCCATTAACCATCAGATGAGGGGAATGGTGAAGAACGGGCCGACTTACGAGAGAATCGCCGAAGGACTGACCAGCCGTGGCTTCCCTCCCACGTCTCTGTTTACGTCACACACTGAGCTACACGTTTTGTTACTCGCTCACGCCCCCCATTGCCCCGAAAAAGGCGCATTCTGTATGAACAAAAGTAGGTAGGCAGCATTTTGCTGCACTCCCCAATTTTGCTTTTGTACTGCCAATGCTGAAAGAAGACTGATTGCGCTTTCCTGCAAATTTGCACAATTCCTGTTTAAAAAGGGCTACAGACTGGCTCTGTACAAAGGCGTCAAATTTAAACTACCACCTCTGAAGCTCACTAATTAATATCTTAGATTTTGTTTGATTTTTTTTTCTTTAACTTTGATTGTTGCTTATTTATTGTGAATATTTATTATAATGGAGGAATGCTAAAGATTAAAAGCCAAATTGTCAGGGGCTTTAAACCTTGAACAGCTCTTTTACTTACTTTAAGTCCATTTTCCACATTTAAAGCGATTCCAGGTTTAACTCAGTGAAGGTATCCAGATTATTTAGTAATCCTGCTTCACGAGGCAGGCCTCAGGTCTACACAGTAATGTGTTTTCAAATTATTTAACTGGAGACAAGTTGTAAACAAAAAAAAAAACAATGACACAGCAAGAAGAACTGACACAGGGTTACAAGCTCTCATTAACTGCAAAACTTATCTGAGGATAGTAGAGCGAAGTAATCAAAACATTTTAGGACACATGTTCAGTAAGAAATAAAAACAGAGCATATAAATTGAAAATAAATGCATCTCTTGAGGAAACGCCACTCATTATAACAACAATAAGAGTGTACGGATCGTTTATTTCACACATCAGCAGGCCTGAGCTGCTGATGCTGGAATATTATCTAGCTGAGCCACTGGATTGTCTCAACCTCGTGTTATTCCAATTGCTGCTGCTGCTAAACTGCTTAAGAAAACATACATGACACATCTATTCAGCGTCATGAATAATACAGTGTTCCTGCACACTCACACACCTACTGGCACACTCAAGCCAAAATGTGTCTCTCGGTGTGATACACACATGCCTGACTTTAAATCCCTACGAGACACGCTTATTGAGAAGGATAGAAAACCTACAGGATTCTCAGGCTCTCATCTCCTTCCAATAAAACGAGTCATCTATTCTTTCCTGAGACAGGATGCAACGGGGAAGCAACCGAAGGGCATCATCACGGGGTGAAGAGTTCACAGCAGCGTGCAGCAATGGGATTTGAGAGTTTTAAAAAAAGGTTGATTTCTCTTTACCCAAAAGAGAATGACATTTTCTTCTTTGATCAAGGAGAAAATAGGGGAAATATGGAGGTGGGGAGTCATGGAGAGAGGCGGTGAAAGAGAGAGACAACAGAGGAAGAAAAGCCTGAAAAAGAAGCAAGGCGACAGAGTCAGGGAGATACTGCTATCACAGCTCCAACATGGCAGGATGTGACATATGGAGAGCAGGAAGAGGAAACTGGACAGATATAGATTAATTTAGTAGCCGCTCCTGAAAACATGTCTATCCCATTAGGGGCCTCAGTGGCAGTTAATGTGCTTATCAAAGCGTGCACCTTTGGTCTATTCCTAACCCGGTATGGTGCTACTACACACAGCAAAAGGAAAGCTCAATGCAGAATGTAACTACAGACCAGTGGGTTTTCTATTGTTCCAACTTCTGGGACTACACTTATCGGATTGCAGAGTGAACATTTTCTCCAGGAGTTGGCACGAAATAGGGTCACACCCTGGGGTCAAATCCCAAATCTAATCAGACTTAATGTAGGTCATTAATTAGTATGACTTTACCACAGCTCTGCTTATTTTACCATGTGAGACCTCCTCAAACAAAGGAATAGTTAAACAATGAGTCTCACTTAACTAACAAAAACACAAAAGAAATGCTTTGTTAGAAACAAGCACCCTCGTCATTATTTACAGTGCGCCACAAGTCTGCATATAAGGATTTCAAGTCAGCGGGAGGATGAGCCCAGCTGTATTTACTCTGTAAAGCACTGACTACACATAAAATCTTCCCAGCACCAAATATGACAGAAAATACATTTTTTTGACAAATCGAGTAGGTTTAACTTGACAGGTGGTACAAATATGGGTAATTTCCTGTTTTATTTTTACATGGAGCTCCAGAGAGGCTAAACTCTGCCAAGAAGGTGGACGTGATTTTTATAGTGACGGACAAGTATCAAAGAAAGTGCTTAGGTAGCGTCATAAATCATATCAGTAAACAATGCTTTCAGGACTTTGCACAGGCGCATGCTATGATGTCTTTGTGCGTCTGTCAGCAGGTAAGTATGATAGTTAATATATTATAGATATATTATAGAGTGGATCTCTTCTTTTATAAAGAAGTTTGGCAAGTATAACCATGAGTACTGAATGTTTTGTTCAGCACAGAGGTTAGCTTTGGGTTTAAAGGCTACCAAAACATGTTTAATATTAGAATTAAACCCCGAATAATTCAAATTTAAGACAGTTTAGTGACTAAACTTAAGGCCTGATGTCTGCTAAAATAAAATGTAATACTTTTTATAGACTGGCAGATGCAAGGGCTTCATGTTCAAAAGCCTCTCTTTGCTCTTTTTGTACTTCGTTTTACAAAAGCAGAGTGAAAGGTAAAGGAGTACAAGGAATAAATGGGCACGTGCACCTGTACACAAAAGCAACATCAGCTAAATTATTGGAAACTTTATAAGGATCTTGATATTTGTTCACATTAAAACCCTGAAGCCTACTTCTCACACAATGTCAGGACATGCTTGTCTCAACTTTTCTCATGACCTTCTACTGTCATGATTCAGAAACAGAAACCTTTATAGACATAAGATGGTAGTTTGTGTGAATATGTGGGTTAGCATTACTTCTTAACTTTCCTTTTTAATAAACTTTGAAAAGGAGAGACCCTTGATCGTGCTTGTGTGATGAACAGAGCCCCATAACAGCAACATGGGTGTGTCAGCTCAGCTGTTGTAGCAGATAGCCATCTGATCAAATATGGTATTTGGAGTCTCATAGCTTAAATTTCAGGACAATGGGAACAGCTGGTCTTTATTACAGGTGAAACTAGACTTTGCAGCTTATTAACCCGTGTGGTATACTTTAACAGCTCCCTGTGCTGCAGTGGTTAACAGCCATGGGGAGAAAATTACAGCAGAAGTTGAGTTTTGGAGATGTCTGATAGTTGCAGAGGGGGCTTCAGTGATGCTGGCATGTTTTCAAACATGAGCCACAAAGCCAAGATAAAGGGCGGTGGTTCTGATAGCTGGCGTGAACAATGTTTAAAGCCCCACTCAAGGGAAATAAAAGCCATGCTTTTGGGCACACGGTGCGGTAGTTTGTGTACATGCTGTTGTCAACTTACCCTCAGAGAGCTCCAGCTCCAGCTCCGCCAGCTTCTCCCGGACCTCCGCCGGCAGGGTCATAGCGACAGCCGGCGTGGGCTCCAACATCATCGTTAGCAACCCGGTGGAGGTTCTTTCAGCCATTGTAAGAAGCACAAATAGGTCCACTGAGTCGCCGGAGAGGAGGACTGCGACCAGAAATGTTATAAAGAATTAAAAACAACAACCCCTCCTCACTTGTTTTCGACTACGGAGGGCAAAGAGGGTGTTGGTGCTCGTCTCGCTGCAACGTCGTACAGATGTGTGAGAAATGTCTCCAAACGTCATGACACGGCTAGCTGCGAGGCTAGCAGACACACCTGGCTGTGTGTGTCCATGTAGTGTGGTAGGACGGGGCCCTGCCAGTGTCTCCCTGCCCGCTGTCTGTCCCTCGGCACTGACGCTGTCCTGACTGTCGGCGGCTGCTTCACTTCAACTGTGGAGGGAACTCATTCAACTCCTCGCTCGCTTCCCACGGCGCAGTCGCCATTGCATCATAGCAACAGCAGCCCGACCGTGCGCGCTCACGAGCCCTGGACTCTCGTGTCTGTGCGCGTGTCTCCTGATGTTCCTCATATAACTTGCCTGCCTCCTACTGTCACTATCACAGCGCTGCGCGGTGCTGAAGACTGTCCTGCTGAACAGTATAGGTGCTTTTTACATTTGGTATTTTGACACACAAAGAAGAAATAGCTTATGATATGAAATTCAGTTTTAATTACATTTTTCTTGAATTACAAAATGCAAAAAGCACCTAAAATTTCCAATAGCACAGCACATAATACAGTGCAGTGTAATACTGCACTGTATTGTGCTAATAGCCTATGATAGAGTGTTTTATAACAACATATACAGTATAATAATTCTATTATAGTTCTATCAGAGGTGAGACCAAGTCATTGTTTTGCAAGTCACAAGTAAGTCTCAAGTCTTTTACTGAAGTTGCAAGTGAAGACAGTCAAGTCAACTTGGCTACCAAGTCAACAATGTCAGTCCCAAGTTAAATCCCAAGTTAAGTCCTAAGATAAGACAGTTAAGTCCCAATTCAAGTAGACTACCAACTTAACAGCCCCAAGTCAAGTCCCAAGTAAAAAATTATAAGTCCCAAGTTAAGTCATAAGTCAAGACAGTTAAGACCCAAGTCAAGTAGTCTACCAAGTCAACAATGACAAGCCGCAAGTCAAGTCCCAAATCCACAATGACAAGTCCCAAGTCAACAATGACAATTTCCAAGTAAAGTCCCAAGTTAAGTCCTAAGTCAAGACAGTTAAGTCCCAAGTCAAGTAGACTGCCAAGTCAACAATGACAAGTCCCATGTCAAGTCCCAAGTCGACATTGACAAGTCCCAAGTCAAATCCTAAGTCAACAATGTATTACAAGTCACAAGTAAGTCTCAAGTCTTTGCAGTGAAGTCCCAAGTAAAGATGGTCAAGTAAGCTACCAAGTCAACAATGATAGGTCCCAAGAAAAGTCAAAGTAAAGCCCTAAGTCAAGACAGTTAAATCCCAAGTCAAGTAGACTAACAAGTCAACGATGACAAGTCTCAAGTCACGTCCCAATTCAACAATGACAAGTCCCAAGAAAAGTTCCAAGTTAAGTCCTAAGTCAAGACAGTAAAGTCCTAAATCAAGTCGGCTACCAAGTCAACACTGACAAATCCCAAGTCCTACATTTTTAAATTTAAGCCCTAAACAAGTCATAATGCATTCTTCAGCAGAAGTAATGCCGCTTTGACAACAGATTATATAAAGATCAAGATATGGGTGTAGCAATATTAAAATTGCAAATTGCAGTGTTGTCCTGATCTATACATTATTAAAACTTACACTGAGGATCCAGCACCCTGTCTTAAAGGTTTAATCGTGAGTGAGCATGTTGTGTCTTACTTTTATTTGAACAACAGATTATATTAAATTTACAAAAATCATGAATGCTTCTTAAAATTTGTATTTATGTGTTTGAACAAGTTTGTCGGAACTTGTTGCATCTTCAACTGCAATTTTCAACCTGCACATTTTGTATACTGCAATTCATTTTTTGTTGACCACTGCATAGTTTTTATATGCAAACAAAATTATCTTTCGTATGATTTTCCTTGTTCTTCATGGTTATCTTGTGCAATTTGATTAGATGCTGTTGGATTGGTTTAAACAAAGTGGATCTTACTGGGAACAAATACTGTTAATGTTTATTGAATCAGGGAAAAAAACAACAGGAAATTAATTAATTTGTGGCACACTTTTTAAATAACACACTTGTTAATCTCTGGTCTTGGGGAAAGGTAGCAAGTATTTTTAAGTCATTGGTGTTTAAGTCTAAGTCAAGTTTCGAATTTGTCAACTCACATCTAAAGTCATCGAATTTATGAATTGAGTCTGACTCGAGTCCAAGTCATGTGACTCAAGTCCACCCCTCTGTTGTTAATACAGAAAAACAAGTTTTTGATGGATGGCCTGATGGATACATGCCCAGAGGCCCAAAGGGTCAGGGGGCACTTGAGTTAGGCATGTTAACATATCTTGCTGTAAAGAAAAATCAGACGACCACAAAGACACACTTAACAACCACAATAAGAAACAAAAGAATCCCCAAAGAGACGGTAAACACGCTCATAAAGATGTAAAACAGCCACAAAAGACATAAAAGAACCCCAGAGATGTAAAAAAAAAAAAGAAAAGAAAAAAAACAACCACAAACAGATATTAACAAAAAAACAAAGAGATGCAAAACAACCACAAAGACAAGCTAAACAAATACAAAACTCCACAAAGAGATGTTAGATAACTAAAAACAACACATATTTGCGTCTCTTCGTCTGGGTCGGGGTGTCTTGCTGCTACCATACAAAGAGGGGAGCTTTGAAAAATGGGCTAAGATGCTAACTGAGTTGATTTAAGTGTCTTTATATATGTTTCTTTTACACTGAATATGTGTGCATATCTTTTATATTCAACTTGTTATGAGTTCATAGGTATCAAATAGGTCTATTGATTATGCTACTTGTAGTTTCTGAGATACAATCATTTTCTTATCATAGTAGGTCTTTGGGCACGTGGGACTACAGTTTCTCCTAAAATATGATTGAATATATGTTTTTAAAAAGTAACCCAACATGCCCAAAGACTATATAGTGTGATAACAAGAACTCTCTTCTTAGTCAGTTGACCTTTTTTTGAAATAGATATAGATATAGATATAGATATAGATATAGATATGTCCCCACAGGGATGGTGCTGTGTCTTTCCTTTAGTCTGGTCTTCTACCAGAGGCCTGGGAGTCTGAGGGTTCTGCACAGTATCTTAGCTGTGCGTGGGATCACACTCTTCTGAACAGAGACCTCAGATGTTGTACCTGGAATCTGCTGGAACCACTTTCCCAGTTTCAGGGTCATAGCCTTGAGTGCTCCGATTACCACTGGCACCACTGTTGCCTTTACTCCCCACATCTTTTCTAGCTCTTCTTTCAGCCCTTGGTATTTTTCAAGCTTCTCATGTTCCTACTTCCTGATGTTGCTGTCATTCAGGATTGCTACGTCTATCACCACTGCCTTCTTCTGTTGTCGATCAACACGATGTTGGTTAGCCATCACCAGTTTGTCAGTCTGGATCTGGTAGTCCCACAGGATCTGTATCTATATCTGTATGATTTTTAAACTGATTGTATTTGTCCATCTGGGATCAATAAAGGCTTGTCTGATTCTTGATTCATAGGCTCACACCATGATCTGTAAAGATATAATGAAATTATAACCCAGCTAATAAATGGATACATCAAAATTACACTTAAATATGAAGTGATGCTAGTAGCCTACAAGGATGCAATATAATGGAATTTATTTAGATATTGGGATGTAACAGATATATGTGAGTATTAATAATAGAAGAAATTTTATTTACATGGCACTTTTTTAAAACAACTTTTAATCAGAGACAAAAATAAATAAAATAAAAATAAGTAAAAGTAATAATTAAAGTTAATAGATAATAAAAGTAGACATAGACAGATAGTGTTTACTTCAACTAAACATTTTCACATTTCTGCACAGGTTTTTAAAAGGGGGAGCATACCTATGTTCCCTGGGTTCTATGTTCCCCGGGTCCTATGTTCCCCGCTTTGTATGGGACCAGGGAACATAGAACCCTTTTTAATAATAAGGGTTTTATGTTCCCTGCTTTTCCCCAAAAGGACCCGGGGAACATAGGCCCTTTTTTAAAAAAAAGGGTCCTAACTCCTAACCCTAACCCTAACCCCTTTTTCTCAAAAGGGTCCTATGTTCCCCAGTAACAGCAGGGAACATAGAAGCCTTTTTCTTAAAAAGGCTTCGATGTTCCCCGGTCCCATACAAAGCGGGGAACATATTTCCTTTTTAGGACCCTTTCTTTTTTTAAAGGGTCCTATGTTCCCCGATTGGGGAACATAGAACCCGGGGAATATAGGGATGACCCCTTTAAAAGGTATGTAGCTATAAGAAATTCAGGCACTACATGTGTGTTTTAGCTGCACTGTGAAGCAATGAAAATGTATTTTACATTAATGCTTCAAAAAACAAAAGGTTACATATTACATGTACAGTAGATATAACTCTACTTTTTGTCTTAAATTAAATTGACATTTACCTCTTTTGTTAGGCTCTGATTGGGTGAGTTGTTTGCAACTCCCTGATGCTGCTGTTGCTGGCTTTGGGTTTGGGTTAAGAAGTAGTAGAATTACTGTTATCATGATTGTTTTGTCCTTCATGTACATTTATACATGTCATGAAACTTTTAAAATGTATGTCCAAACAGATTTTTCAAACATTAAATAAATACACTTAAAACAACCTGTTAAATAAGTTTTTCTTCGTCTGTAAAAGCAAGTGTTATAAGCACCTTTAACCAGTAGGTGTCACTGCATACACACTAACAAGGGTTCTTCTAAGGCAAAGAATGTGCGACATTAATATGTGGCTGACAGTATTGCAGGTGAAGTGAAAGTGATGGTGATAAATCCTCTATTGTAAGTAAAGCTCTTTCCTCAAAGTGTGTTTCAGATCGATGTGGTACTTCTCTCCAGGATTCCTCTTGTTGTGTTCAAAGATGGCCCCGTTTACCTCGGTGTGAACATCAACAAGATGTGTTTTCCTGTCAGAACACAAACAACAGGTTAGTCTGTAGCTCATATGACAATCATCTGAAGTCAGAAACTGGATTTGCTGTTGAATCTTTGCCCGTACCTCTTTTGACCTTTGTGCAAGGTGTCTGTCAGAGCCTTCAGGTAAATGGAGCGATGGTGTCCTTGCCCCAGTTGATATTCATCTGTCCAGCAGTGACTCCAGAATATATCTGCATCTGTGGGGATGAAGTCACATCTGGACATCCCATCACACCCATCCGTCTCCAGATCCTCATCCCAATGCTCCATCCTGGCACGGGGCAGACACTCGGCAACGCTGTATCTCTGGATGAAGAAGAGTTTGGGCTTGCCGGCCAGCT